CAATGTTATTTCAATGGAAATGTCTCAGCGGGATCGTCAATGTTATTTCAATGGAAATGTCTCATCAGGATCGTCAATGTTATTTCAATGGGAATGTCTCATTGGGATCGTCAATGTTATTTCAATGGAAATGTCTCAGCGGGATCGTCAATGTTATTTCAATGGAAATGTCTCATTGGATCGTAAATTTTGTCTTAATGTAAATTCCTCATTGGGATCGTCAATGTTATTTCAATGGAAATGTCTCATCAGGATCGTCAATGTTATTTCAATGGAAATGTCTCAGCGGGATCGTCAATGTTATTTCAATGTAAATTCCTCATTGGGATCGTCAATGTTATTTCAATGGAAATGTCTCAGCAGGATCGTCAATGTTATTTCAATGAAAATGTTTCATTGGATCGTAAATTTTGTCTCAATGTAAATTCCTCATTGGGATCGTCAATGTAATTGCAATGGAATTGTCTCATTGGGATCGTAAATTTTGTCTCAATGTAAATTCCTCATTGGGATTGTCAATGTTATTTCAATGGAAATGTCTCAGCGGGATCGTCAATGTTATTTCAATGGAAATGTCTCATTGGATCGTAAATTTTGTCTTAATGTAAATTCCTCATTGGGATCGTCAATGTTATTTCAATGGAAATGTCTCATCAGGATCGTCAATGTTATTTCAATGGAAATGTCTCAGCGGGATCGTCAATGTTATTTCAATGTAAATTCCTCATTGGGATCGTCAATGTTATTTCAATGGAAATGTCTCAGCAGGATCGTCAATGTTATTTCAATGGAAATGTTTCATTGGATCGTAAATTTTGTCTCAATGTAAATTCCTCATTGGGATCGTCAATGTAATTGCAATGGGATTGTCTCATTGGGATCGTAAATTTTGTCTCAATGTAAATTCCTCATTGGGATTGTCAATGTTATTTCAATGGAAATGTCTCAGCGGGATCGTCAATGTTATTTCAATGGAAATGTCTCATTAGGATCGTCAATGTTAGTTCAATGTTAATGTCTCATTGAGATCGCTAATGTTATTATAATGTTAATGTCTCATTGAGATTGCTAATTTTATTTCAATTTCAAAGTAGTATCTGGAACGTCAATATTATTTCAATGTATTCAATAACATATACATTGACGATCCCAATGAGACATTTACATTGAATTACATTGACCATCCTATTGAAACACTTACATTGGAATGTTATTGACGATTCAAATGAGACTTTACATTGGAATAACATTGATAATCCTTATGAGACATTTTCATAAAAATAAAATTGACGATGTCAATGAGACATTTACATTGCAATAACATTGACGATCCCGATGATAAGTTGAAATTTAAATAACATTGACGATCTCAATGAGACGTTGAAATTACAATCAAATTGACGATCCCAATGAGACATTTACATTGAAATAACATTGACGATTCAAATGCAGAAGCAGCATTATAAAAATAAAGTTTACTATCTCAATGCAGAAACATTATTGTTGAAATAGCGTTCACGATCGCAAAACAATCAAATTGAAATAACATTGACGATTTAAATGCAGAATCAGCATGATAAAAATAACGTTTACGATCTCAATGTAGAAACAGTTAAATCAGCATAACATTCACGGTCCCAATACAGAAACATTACTATGAAAATAACGCTTACGATTATAATACAGAAACAGTTAAATAAAAATTATTAAGAAAATATTGTTGACAGGTACTGGTTATTAACTGGAATGCCTGAGCTTGAATTCTTTGAGCAATGAGATGATGCGGTTATAACTATCTTCTGCTTTCAGGAGGTGAGAGTATAAGGTGTTCAGGTGAATGTGAAGCTTCGAATGGAGGAGGTAATTCAGCAATTATTTGACTGATTTTTGTCGAATGCAAATCTCTTTGTCGATTCTCAGATGCGGAAGAAGAGGAGGAAGATGCTGAAGATCGAGTACGGTCCGATGATGCAGATATGCTTGAGGATTGAGAGTTTGACAAACTTGAATCAACTGACTTATCAGATTCCTTAAGGATAAGTAAGTTGTTGCGGAAGAGTCAGAATCAGAGAAACCAATTCTTAGCGGAGGGAGTTGAGGCAATGATGTTGATGAGATGAAGTTGAATTGGAACGAATTCGACTTTGTTGATCAAAATATGATGGTTGAATGCTGAAAATGGTTTGAATGGTTTGAACGATGAAAATGATAGGAGTTGTTAAAATGATAAGACTGATTAGAATGATGTGATTGACTCGTTACACCAGAGGCAGCGAAGTTTGTACGAGATAATTTTTTTGGTGGAGTGTAGTTCGGAGGGCTCGGAATGAGTGGAGGAGGGCATTGATCAGGCTCCTCAGGTTCCAAATCAAATCATTTGTAACAAGAGCTGATTTCTCGTTCGTTATATTGATATTGAAACATGCAACATGGTAATCTTGAATCAAACGTGCAAGAAGATTGCAATTTTTCGCATCATTCATTATGAACAATTACATGACAATTTACGTAATAATTCAATACTTTTATCGCTGTCTAATTCATCAGTAATTTCCAGTTCACACCATAATCTCTGTAACTGAGCAACAGAATAAATCAGAGGTTGATCAATTTCGAATGAAATTTTCTCATGCCTTATTAAAGAGTTTGTGGTCAAATCTTTACGATCAAACGCTCTTTACAATAATGACCATACCATTTTACTCTTTGCAGCATCTTGAATCGAGCACATATATTGGCAGCCAATGCAGCAATGAATAACACTAAGATCTGCTATGATGTTTTTGATAAAAAATTATGTACCATAATACTCAGACAGTCAATATTCATTCTGACGCGTCTCACCGAGTTTTATGTATTGAAAATCGTATAATATTGTAATCAGTACCTTGAATAGATTCAAAAAATTCTAGCAACATCAAAACAAAGTACTTGAATATATGAATATGAAATATAATATGAATAAAGAGAAGAGTTTGCATGAGCAGCGTATTTACTGTCTAAATTGTAACTATCTCTTGTGAGTTTCATATTCAAAGTTATATTCAATAGTCACTTTGGTCCGACGCGTCGGACCAAGTTTTTGCATTAAAAATAGTGATATATTATATTACATTGCAATCAGTACCTGAAATAGATTAATAGAAAATTCTAGAAACAGCAAAACAAAGTACTTGAGGTGAATAAAGACAAACCACTTGAGTTTATGAATATAAATAAAGACAAAAGTCAGCATGATCAGCGCATTCATTATCTAAATTGTAACTATCTCTTGTTAGTTTCATATTCAATGTTATATTCAATAGTAACTTTGGTCCGACGCGTCGGACCAAGTTTTTGCATTAAAAATAGTGATATATTATATTACATTGCAATCAGTACCTGAAATAGATTAATAGAAAATTCTAGAAACACCAAAACAAAGTACTTGAGATGAATAAAAACAAACCACTTGAGTTTATGAATATAAATAAAGACAAAAGTTAGCATGAGCTCATTTACTGTTTAAATTCTATCCAGTGCATACACCTCCATTATTAACGTCAAACTATTTTTGTTTAGTGAAGTCATTCTAATTTTACTAGTGTAGTTCACAATACTGATATGGAAGCAGTTAATCCAACATCAAACAACAGCCCTGTTGGAAGTGAAAGTGAGAATGGATTCGAAAGTGAAGACACAAATAGTGAGGATCGACAAACTGCTAGAGTGGAGCTGGGTGGTGTAACAGCAAAGAACCTGCAAAAGCTATTCAATGAAATATTGGAATATGTACCAGGAGAAAATAAGAAGCAAGTGATCAATGCAATTGTAAGGTGTTGTCAGCAAAATTTCACTCAATTCCAAGGTTTCAATGCAACTCCTGATTTTCACGACTGTAGTGATGATATGAGTGATTCAAAATTAAAATCTACGAAAGTAAATAAAAGAGGTAAAGTCTTGACTGATGATAGAATTATTGCATTATTCAGGAAATCATGTATGCAATCAAATGAGGAAATTCCAGATACATTATCTTTCGAGATATCTTCACTTGATGATGGCATAGAAAAATTGAAGATGATGGCTGCAAAAATCAGCATGAATGATAATAAAAAATTGAACCTTGTGTATCATACAGGATATATTTTGCAACAACTCAAAGAAAAGTGTAATAACAAAAAATCAAAGTTGAAGCAAATTTTACAAGAAAAAGATATAAATTTGAAAATAAGTCAAGCATACCTTTATATGTATTTGCATAGAAACGTCAAAAATTACCCAAAATTTTTGGAATCAAACCTTCCACTGCGAGAGTTTAAGAAATATTTTCATCGTATGCTTAAGATCTTCAAAAAAAACGAAATTGAAGAGCGATACTGGAAAAGCATCGCTTGTAACTCAGAAAATTGAAATGTATTTTGAATTTGAATAATTGAATTAAAAAATCTTCACGAAGATGATTTCATGTAACTGTCTCTTGCAAGTTTTTTATTATTTGATATAGAGATTCCCGATGTTCTGCTCTGATTGTTTGATCGGTGAAGTGCCATGAAATTCTTCAAAGATTAACTAAATAAACAGTTAATATATTGTCCGACGCTGAGGATTTGGTGTATTGAAAAAGTGCTATGCCATATTGCTTGCAGCTAGGTAATATGCAACTATCAAAAAATCAAAAAATACAACAATGGAACTTGCTATTGTTATATCATGATCTAAATTGTTCCTCCTCCTATCCTATTCGCACTCTAACATCTTGTCTTTAAAAGAGTATTCTGTATTTATGTGATTCGTAATTACTGACTGACTTTTCGGATTACCTTATCTCATTAAAGCTCCCTGTCACTGATTTTTCAGTCCTTTTTTCATTTAAATGAAAAATTTTCATTATTCATTCACTTAGCAATTTAGTTTAAAACTAACAACTAACTTTTTTGGAGTCATTCTGGCTAAAATCTTTGTATGATATTGGATGCTCTTTTAACATGCTCTTAGTAACATCATCCCCAACTTTCTACATCTTTCTTAGTCTTTCTACATGTTTCTCAGTCTTTCTACATCTTTTCCTTATCTTTTTCCCGCCCTCAATCGAACCTTTTAACCAATCGTATAAAATTTTGATAAGAAGAGTGAGCCATGAAACGACTCACTCTCTAACAAACTATTGTATATAACAAGACAATTTTCGCTGAGTAAATCATGTTCTCTCAGACATCAAAGTCTCCTCTTCATCTTTAACTATAAGTTTCAAGCTTAACTTTTCTGGAAAGCCTTCACCCTTGCCGACTCTTATAGCCTACTACATTTGCCGCAGTGCTGCCGTGATCAACTTGTCTCTTGCCTTACCTGTCTCTGGCTAGCTTCCTGGCTGGTTCTTGGTTATTTCTTTCTCCAGTCTCCTTGGTATGCCTTATTCTAGTCTCTCTGCCTGATTTTTCCAGTCTTTCTGGCCTTTACTCTTCTTCTGGTTTGTGTCTTTCGTGGTTCTTCTTTCTTGGTTTACTCTCTGGCTTCATTCTTATTATAGGTCGTTGTTTTCTGGCTTTTCACCGGCTTTAGTGATTCCACTTCGCTTTCTGACTATTTCTTTTTGGTTTTCAGCTTTAAGCATCTCATCTTTAGCTTTTTGATTATACTGCATCAACTCTTGACATCAACTGAGCCGCTTTTTAATTTGACTTTGGCTTAACTTAACTGCCTTATTTCACCTCCTGGTACACCTTCGGAATTATATAGTTTGACTCTGTCAGCTAGCCAACTGCCTCTTTTTCGGGTGCTTCTCCTGCTTCACTTTATTTAAACTGCTTAAACTGAAAATAGTGTATTTTTACAGAAATATTTGCATAGAAAGAATATCTCTCGAAGCAATTAAGCCTATGAAAAGAATACAGTGTTGTCAATTTTATTATTGTAGTTAAATTGTCGTCAATATCTTTTTCTATCACATTTACGCTCCCTGTCAGTGATTTTCAGTCATTTTTTTATTTAAATAAAAAATTTTCATTATTCATTCACTTAGCAATTTAGTTTAAAACTCTACGGTTCTCGCTGATCATCACACTCCTATTGTATTTATGCAGTTTCTATACATATATGATCTCTCTCTAGGTTTGAATTTCTAACTGACTTTTTTGGATCCCATTTGGCTAAAATCTTTGTATGGTGTTGTTTGCTTTTCTACCCATCAACTCATTTCACTGTTATCGCAGCTAGTTTTGCGTTGCACTCTGCACACAAGCTACCATTTGCTGTGTCTGTTGAGTTTGATTTAGCTGTGTTGTTTTGACGGAGGATCTTCTTCAATTCTGTAAGTTTACATCAAAAACCTAATCAAAGTTGAGTCAATCATGACATCTATGCCTCCTGTGTTGAATCGTTTAACTTTAATCATTTAATTTTTTGTAGATCTGAGAATAGTGTTTCTCTACAGTAATACAGTTTTTTTATAAATAATTGGTGTTTCTAATCATTATTTTCTTCATTGTATTTTAGCATAATTCGTTCTGATTTCAATATATTCCAAGATCGAAACATGTCTCTAGACAGGACGCAGTTGTTACAAGAATCAGTTCGCTTGCAAACATTTTATTCAATGCTTGGTCAGTCATGGACAGCTTGCTATAGAGATTTTGAAGAATTAGCGGCATTTGGTTTTTATCACACCAGTGCTCCAAGAACAGTAGCTTGCATATTTTGCAGCTATAGAAATTATATTTCGAGTGTTCCTAGAATACTCTTGACTTTACATAATGTACAGAGTCCTAGTTGCCCCGCCATAAGAGGAGAAGCAGTAGGAAATCGTCATATTCCAACTTATCTTTCAACTCATGTTGATGTAGTGAACGACTATGTCCGTTTTAGTTCAGAAGTGGACATTAACACGCGACTGAATAACTTGAAAATAAAGGCAAATCGACATCAACATAAAATGCCTTTTAACAAAACAATGTCTTCAGAAGAAACGCGACGGTTTTCTTTTATCAGCTGGCCACATACAGAAATGATTCCACACAAAGAACTAGCGAAAGCTGGCTTCTATTATACTGGAGATTCGGATACTACTCGTTGTTTTCATTGCGGGGGGATACTGTCAAGTTGGAAAAAAAATACTAACGTTTGGAGTGTCCATGCTTATTATTTTCCGCACTGTCATTACCTGTATCTTAAAAGAGGTGCAATCTTTGTGGACAGTGTAAAATCTCCAAATCAGAAAACATGTGTGGTAAATGAATTGCCAGAGCCATCTGAAGATTTACGTAGATATAGATGTATGATATGCATGTGCAAAGAAATCGGAATTTCTTTTCAGCCGTGTGATCATTTAATATCGTGCATAGATTGCGGTGAAAAACTCTCCAAATGTCCTATTTGTAGAACTGACATAACCGCTAAATTTCGACAGAATTTGCCATAGCAAAAAAGTGTACAGTGGACAAAAATAACGTAAGGTTATGAACAAAAAGCTGCATACACCGATTTCAACGATTTATTTAAAAAAACTCTTGCTGAAATATCAATGATTGAAAAAATTTCCTTATCAGAAATATGGAAAACTTATAGCTGTCTTTGTTGTGAAGAAACCTGAAAATGAAGAAGACATGATCTTTATCATTCCACACCTTTTTATACACATGTTTCCTACATCTTTTTCTCTCCTAATTTCCAAAGTCAACTGATCAAATTAGACTTTGATAAAGTGAGACAGCCATGGGACGAATCACTCTACACAATTGATTTCATGTAATGGAAAATTCTCGTAAACAAATTTATGTGCTCTAAAACATCAAAGTCTCCTTTTCTGCATTTTCTCTTTAAATTTACAGTTTTACCATAAAAAGATACCCAACTCTCCAGCTCTCTCTACCTAACCTAACATTACATACCATGTTTTTTACAATTAGTTGCAAACTTTCTAGAAACACATAAATGCATGCACGATATAACTATTGCTGTTTTGGTTTATAGGATGAGCCTTGGATTCAATGTGGGGGGCGAACGCATCCTGTGGGCTATGACGTAGCTTGGGCAACCGGCCAGGCATCCACTGCCTGGCCAGTCGCCATGCTCGGATCGTACTTTGGATGAAAATTTAAAAAAATTGACATCAATAATGTCATAATTGATATAAAATTACTAAGTTACAGTAAATTTCTAAAAAAATACAACCCCAATAATTATATTATTAACGGTTTCACCTTAATATTAACATGTGCTCATCAAGTTGCAAACGGAAACGAAACCTCATCTCTGGATCAATACAAAGTAGACTTGGAAAAATTGTCGGAACTGTTAAAAGTTGGTATAAAAAGTGTCTGAGCTCTGAAAAAAGCCTGAGGAGATCCAAGTGATTATCGTCCACAAAAATAGCATCAATTGAAAACCTGACGCATCCTTGGCAAACTTAATTACAGGTACCAGTGGACACAAAAAAAAGCAAGAGAGGAAATATCTGAAAGAATAACCAACCCAGAGGTCGTATTTATAATTATTAAATGGAAACGCATGATTACAAAAAATAACATAAATAATAAACAAAAGAAAAACTCAAAAATTACACTGAAAACAACAAAAATACAATAGCCGAATTACACAAAATAAAAGAATACGAAAATAAAGTCACTATTTACTTGAGTGACAAAAAGTACGAAGAGATAAATAATATGAAATTGAAACTCAAATTTAAAAATGAAACTATTGAATTTTCCCCGTAACCCAAATATAACATTTGTATCAATTGCAAACACGCCTTTGATGGATACAACGGCAATTGTACCTCAAATAACTGAGACAAATAAAAATTATTAAATTGAAACACAATATATTCAAATCATTTATCACAACGGTTAAAGTAAACATAAGTTACACCAAAAATTACAATAGAGGGAACTACTTTTTACTATGATAAATCAATTCACCAATACCCACATCTTAAATCAACAAACCATTTCCTTTTGATCGGGAACAGATCGCATTGAACTCCAACGGTGCAAAAAGAAAACATATTGTAAACAATTATATGTTGACATAAATCAACATCACCTGTTTTATTAATTACTAATATCTAATTGTTTTATCCATTATTTTAATTTGATTGACTTGTTGACTACTAAGCATCATCACCTTTTTCATTGTTAAAAATATTTGATTGATAATTTGCGTCAATATAACATTGACGCAAATCGAAATGTTTTTTCTTTATCTTTCGACTTTCTCTTTCTTTTTCATTATATCTTTGTATAAAAGAGATGGTTTTTGTTACAATGATCATCATTAAAGTTATGGGATTTATTTTATTAACATGGTTTAATAGTAACCTAACCTATTCTTTCTGATCAACTGGCGACCACGGCAGGATGGTCTGCCCTAACTCTTCAACTTTAAACACTACTCCGTTGGCATATACTAAAAGAATTGCTGTTCACAGAAGTAATTCTAATCAACTAATATTTTCAAACCACAGTTCTTTGCCTGTTCTTTCTCTTCCTATCTCCATCTCTGGTACTGGCTTCTGTCATATTCCTGCTAGCTCTTCTGACCTCTCTCCTGGTTTACCTTCTTCCAGTCAATCACCTTCATCTGATCAACTTGGTAACAAATCATCCACTATTCCTGCTTCAATAGTTGGATCTTCACTTGGTAGTCTTCAACCTCTTTTACCATCTCCTGGCGACAGTCCTGTAGCCTCTGTTGGTCTTTCTTCACTCAAATTCGCTTTGAAGAAATTAAAATTTAGAAAAGCACCTCAAAAGCTTTCAAATACAGCTTCATCTGGATTGGTTTCATCAAATCAATCGGTCTGCGACTCCACCAGCTCACTAAGTAATAGTGTTTCTACTACCTCATCAATTGGTACATTTGTTGATGCAACTGAATCCTTAGTTTCTCCTCGTACTGCTGTATCGCTTGGTGGTTTTACTGGATCTCATTCCTTTGGTTCTGGCCTTTCCAGTCTTCCAGTCAGCTTGATACCCTCTTCTTTTTTCAATAAAACCGCAACTCTTACTGACAAATCTCTTAATTTAGGTATCGTTGGCCCAATTGTTAATCTTCATCCTACTGCAAATCCAAAGGCATCTGCAGTCCAATTAACAGGTTAGTCACGTTCGAAGTTTCGCAAAGAAGCCAGGGCAGTTCCATAGTGGAAAACGCCCGGTGCTGCGACCCTAGAACAGCGTTCAAGGTGTATGATTTTGTATGAAGGACGAAGTTGTTGAGCCAAGTCACAAGAAAGTCCTAATTTTAGTTTTATTTTCTTTCCATTTTTCTTTGCCATCTTCAGTTAATGATAACATCCCTCTCGATCGTCAGCGTAGACGAAATAAAAACGCAAGATTGCATAGTAAAATTAAACAATTAGAAACTGGTTGTGTAAAAGATTACGCCAGTTTACGACAGTTTGAAAAAAGAATAGCTAAAACCTTTAAAGAAGCTTTAATATTGAAAAGACAATTTATCGATCAAGGTAAAAAGAATGCAGAACTATTATTAGAAGCTCAAAGAAAATTTGCATTAGCAGATCAAACCGCCTTGAAATTTAGAGATAAATCAAATGACTACCAGAGAACAAATAATTTACAATTAATAACTGGTTTACAACATTGTAACCCAAGAGATATTGTACATTTCATTATCTATCAACAAAAAACAGCTATCTCTATCCTCCAAAACCTGATCCAAACAAAAAACCATACATTCCGGGATCGAGTGAATTAAAACAAAAGAAAACACGTTGGCAACGAGCAAGAGATTGGAGACGATTTGTGGATTGATTTCTATTTTTTCTTCCTTTTCTTTCTTTATTTTTGAATAAATTTGGGTTATTTTAATTGAATTTTGGTGTAAAATTATTAACAATGGGAGATAACGATAATACTAGCCCTCCTGAGCCAAGTCCTCAGATTCTAACAACTATCACTGAAGTGAAACCATCAAATATATCCATGTTAGATGATACAGTTAGTGATCTAGTTGAGTGGTTTGAGAATTATGAGTTCGAAACAAAAGCTACAGGATGGGATGATAAAACAAGACTTAAACGTCTTCCCATGTATTTACAAGGTACCACAAGAAGATGGTACGCTTCTTATGGTGACGAGAGTAATTACTATGAGCTTAAACAAAAAATGGTGAAAGACCTTTGTTCTTCTGACTACAGAGCAATGTTAGAAGAGAGAATTTATGAAAACAAACAATTCCCTGGTCAATCAGTTGTTGCCTACATTTTAGAAATGAAAGATCTTTGTAGAAGATATGACGCGAAAATGCCAGAAAAACAAATTATCAGAACAATTTTGAGAGGAATGCTGCCTGAATTAGTCCAATTCATGGACCAATTTGATTTTGAAACCGTACAAGATTTGCTTACAAGAAGTAAAAAAGCACAACAAACTTACAATAGGAATAAAGAAATTCAAAAAGAAAGGGAGATGGTCGATAGGTCTAACATTGAAAGAATAGTTATCGATTTAAAGAAATCAGTCGAGGCGATCGGAGAAAAATTAACCTCATTGACACTTAAAGAAACTACAAACAGACCTCCTCCTCCCATTCCAAACACTTGTGATTATTGTAAGAAAATAGGACATAGATATAGAGAGTGTAGAAAACGTTTGTACGATGAAAGGCAGAGAAATTATCAAAGTAACAATCAAAATAGAAATCCGCCACAAAGAAATAATTACCAATACAGTAACCAAATGCAAGGCACCAATTATCCTTTCACAAATCAAAGTAATCAAAGTAATCCTCAAAACAACACACAAAATACAGGAAGATGGCAAAATGCAAGGGTAGTTGATACACAAACTAGCCTGGGATTATTTTTCAATTTTCTAAATAACGTTCAAGATAATAAATTGATTTTTATGGATGCTGAAATCCGACAAAATCGATTCAAAGCTCTTGTTGACACAGGTTCTGATGTCACAATCATCACTAGAAGTGTAGTTAACAGAATAGGTCAACCTTTCTCTCGATATCAAGGACCTAGAACTGACACAGCTTGTAACGTTCCCATTCAACCAATCGGTCAAACCGATTTAGAATTAACATTGATAGATGATAAACAAAAAATAACTGTAGCAGCAACAGTAATGATTGTTGACAGTTTACCAGCAAATATTGAAGTCTTACTTGGACAAGATATTTCCTGTGAAGCTGACATACAAATAGGTTGCAAAGATCGAAAAGCCTGGATTGGCTACAAAAATTTCAAACCCATTAATCCCATTTACGATAACGATGATGAAGATTCACTTCCTGAATCTTGGAATGAATCTGATCTAAGCGAAGATGAACTAACCGAAATTCAATCCACTTCTCGTCAACCAATCATCGCTAATGTTGTTCAAAATGAAAACAAATTTAATCTCGACGAATCTTTACAACAAAACGAAGCTGCTTGTTTAATGATGTTGTTGAATGATTATCGACCAGTTTTCTCTTTTCCCGGTGATAAATTAGGAAAAACTCATTTAGTTCAACACAAAATTGACACTGGTAATAACCCACCAGTTCATCAGCCACCTTACCGACTTTCTCCAAGTAAACGTGAACTAGCAGATACCATGATTAATGAATTAATCAAAGATGGTTTTGTTATTGAATCTAGTTCACCTTGGGCTTCACCAATTGTAATTGTTGATAAAAAAACAGGAGATAAAAGATTTTGTGTTGACTATCGAAAACTTAACGAACTCACGAAAAAGGATGTTTATCCTTTGCCTGACATTCAATTAGCACTAGATTGCTTGCAAGGTTCAAAATACTTCAGTCTTTTGGATC